GGTACGTGTTACAAAGGCTGTCATACATGAAGATTTAAGCACACATACAAGTGTGCTGGGGTATGTGTGTGAGAAAAGTACCAGGAAATATTAGGCACACGGCCGTAACAGTGCAAAGACCAATTACAGGTCTTCATATACCAATACGACCCAAGTCATGGAGAACCAAGAAAGATGATAAGGACTCTGTCACTCCCCCTCCTTGTAAACTTGGAAGGAGAACAACATTTCCATTTGTAAAGTATTTCCGTGTACATTATCTGACTCAGTTCTTAAACTCCCTGAGAGAGGGACTAGGGTCATCAGTATTATAGAGGCCGCACTGAAGGTCGAAGTCTTCGGAGCTGGGACCAGAAACCCGCTCCTCACTGCCATTGTGAGAGACCTGGGTTTTCACAGCAACAACAAAAAAGATTTTTAAAAAGGGAAAAGAAAAAAATAAAACAACTTAAAACCAGCTGCAATCTCACCAGTACCTCTGGGACCACTAAAAATAAAAAGAGGTAAGGGCCAAGGAGAGAGAAGGTGTGTTGCTGGCTGGCAAGCTCTCTCTGGACAGGGGCCGGCAGCCACCCGGAGCTCACCTTGCAGGCAGCTCTGCGGATGGGTTGGGAAGAGGAGCTGCCCTGCTGAGCAGTTCCCAGCCCCTCTAGCACACCAGGTAGGAGGGCAGGATAGATGGCATGTACCTGGGAGGGTCCTAGCTGCCCTGGTCCCTCAGCGAGAGGCACTGAACGGTCACTCCAACCCTTGGGGGTGAAGATGCATTGTGCCCCTTCATCAGTAACAGGACAGGGACCCTCCCAAACAAGGGCATCCTCAGGAAGTCTCCTTCCTTCCCTTGCCTAGAGAAGCCTCCTACCTCAGGGGATACTTGGACAGTAAAGACTGCTCCTACACATACCCTGGCAGAAGGGCCAATGCTGAAAGCCTGGCCAGATTGGGAGACTGTGTAGTGCAGTGGTAAGAGGCTTGGGCTCTGAGGTGCCAGAGACACCTGGAGTTCAAATTGCAGAACTCCCAGAAGAAAAGACAGCTAGCCCTTAGTCTGTTACTGATATGGTCCCTCCTCTGCAGATCCTTTCCCGACGCCATGATGAGCACCAGCCTGGGGTCAGCTCCACATGCAGGCTAAGTGACCCAGTCAAGGTCACTCCTTTTATAGCCATGTGGCTGCTTCAGGAGACCCTGGCCGGGGCACCCAGGGTACCCATGACTCGGGGGCTCACTGGACTGGGACTACTAGGAGGAATATCCAGGTCAGGCTGAGAGGGAACTGGCTGTTAGGGTTGGCTGAAGGCTGGCTTTTTCCCCTTTCTGCACCCCCAGCTCCCCCATCCCCTGTTGGTGCAGCAGCGGCTTGACTCTGCAGCAAACTCCTCTGGGCCAGAGGCTGCGGCAAGGAAAAAGGAGAAAAAAAAAAAAAAAAAAAAAAAAAAAAAAAAAAAAAAAAAAAAAAAAAAAAAAAAAACAC